GGGTCCCCTGAGCGGATGCACATTCTTGAGAAGGAAACACTCAGGCAATTTGCCTTCAGTCGTAGTGACAGTGGTGGTGACAACTGATGACAGTGACGGTGGTGGTGACGATGCAGACAGTATCTGTGTGGTGCTATGCCCAGAATTCGTGATCCCCAAAGACCACCAGGGAGCCAAGTCCGATGCAAAAGCAAAAGAGCCTTTATTCGAGCTAGCTCGAGCTCAAGCCCCTACCTGCACTGACGCAGCGGTGAGATGCCGGGGAGAGAGAGCGAGTTTCAAAAGCACAAAGGTTTTATAGGGATCATGGCCTTAGCCGATTGGCTGGAGAAGGGTCGTGGCCTCAGCCGATTGGGTGGAGAAGGGTCGTGGCCTCAGCCGATTGGCTGGGGAAGGGTCGTGGCCTCAGCCGATTGGCTGGGGAAGGGTCGTGGCCTCAGCCGATTGGCTGGGGAAGGGTCGTGGCCTCAGCCGACTGGCTGGGGGAAGGCTAAAACAATGGCTGCCGAGGTGTGGTCCCACATCAGCAATTATCAGCGTCCCCTGGAACTTGTTAAAAATGCAAATGTTGGGCCTGGTGGTCACAGACCCACTGAGTCAGAAACTCTGGGGGTGGGGCTCAGCAACCTGTGTTTGAACAAGTCTTCCAGGAGATTCTGATGCACCTGAAGTTTAAGAACCACTGGGTCTGAGGGTCTCTAACATGTTTGGCCTCAGTGTATACAGAACGTTTCTCACTGGTCACCTATTAACCATTGGCTGTCAGCCTTGCCGTGCTATATAAATACCTAGCATCAAACACCATCCCCCGAGACTCTGATTTAATTGGTTTGGGGAGGGGTAAAATGCTCCCAGGTCATTCTAAGCCTGGACAGGGTTGAGGGCTCCTGCCTCTGGCCCCTACCTAAAAAGCCCTCCCTCTTCTACTCACGCTTTCCACGCCTCTCACGCTCCCCTTCCTCCCACCTCAGACTTCGGAAGAATGCATCAATCGGTAAGTTACTTAAGGGGAGGAGGCGTGTTCTGAGGTTTGAGCAGGAACCTCTTTCTGCGGCCATGTCGGGGACATAGTCTCTAGTCGGCCGGCCTAGGTCTGCTCTTTCGTGTGGCACTGGCCACATGTTGGGTACTCTGTGAGGTAGGCTCTATTACTATCCCCCTTTCACAGATGAGTCCCAGAGCGTTCAGTGACATGTCCAAGGTCACACGGGGAGGAAGAGGCAGAGCCAGGATTCAAATCCAGGACCCACGCGGTTTGGCTCAAAGTACAAAGCTCCTTGCTCCTAACCTCTAACCCTTATTACCGTTCAAGGCAGGATGCCTTTGATGGTCCTGCATCTACTTACTGGTTTTAGTGTATTCTCCCTCTGCCCCCAAGGTCTGTTGGACCTTGGTTAAGGCCCCACATGGTGTTGGCTCGCGGCCTGCCGTGGACTTTCTTGAAACAAGGCTACATGACGGAAGGTCAAGAATGGAGGGTAAGGCCTTTTGACGTTTGGCCTCGGCTCATTCAGACTATTAAAGGGCAGCAAAGAAACTTCCAGATAAGTAAAGCTACTCGTCCCACTCTCCGGAGAGCACTTCGTCTCCGGCATCCATCACCCCCAGCCCCAGCTCACCCAGAAACGCAAGCAGGTCTTCTCTCTGAGGCCGGCCCTGGAGGGGCTGCTGTCCAGCTGCGTAACCGGCTGAGGTTCCCCACCACCCACTGTCCCACACGACGTTCCCCAGCACGTCCGAGCGGCCGTCACGGGTCCGGGCGGTGCGAGACAGACGAGCCTTAAGTCTTGGAGGCTGTGCCGGAACATTCCTTGTGAGGCACATGCTTCCCTTTTGTGCTCCCCTTTGCCACGTCATCGCCTAGCCCCGGGCTCCGGGAATTAGGATGCGGACATCTTGGAGGGGGGATTATTCTGCTGTCCTGTCTTCTAAGTCTCTTTCCAGAAATTTTGTTTTATCTTGCCACGTTCAGGTATACGGTCCATCGTTCGCTGATCCTTGTGTCTAAGGAAAAGAAGGACATTTTCCCATATGATATCCCATTGAGCCGGCACCATTAATGGAAAAGACTATCCCTTCTCTCATTAAGCTGCAGCGGTGGCTTTCTTGTGAATCAGGTGACCGTAGTGTGTGGGTCTTCTGACGCAGTGGTCCCGAGGTGGCACGGCTAAATGTGGAGCACGGGGCTGGGCTGGGCTGGGCTGGGAGCCCCAGTCTGCAGTGCTTGCTAACTTCCACTGTAGCCAGTTTCAAAGTACCAACCTAAAGCCAGCAAGCTGGCAACTCCTAAAATTTAAGCGGGCTCTGGGTCCCATAAGGGCTGGCCTATTTTTGCACCCACGCTGCACACGGACTGTAAACAGTGAGACAGAACAGCGAAGGTCTCCTCATACCCATTTGCCCCCTGCCCGTTAAGCCCCAGCCATTTTCCGACATCCCCAGCACTGCCTAACGCGTTCTGGCCCCCGAGTTTGCTTGGCCACTTTGGTTAGTGCGCGCGGACCGGAGAAGGCTGCTCCCCCAGCCCGAGTGTCAGACCTCCGCACCCCCCCCCCCCCACCGGGGGCTGGTCTCTGGACCAAAGTGCATGTGGTCGTGACTCTCTGTGGCACAAAGCGTGAGCCCTGATGATGCGCATTTGCAGGGGCAGATCTGCATCTGACCGCTTTGCCTGTATCTCAACTGGTTCCAAATGTGGATAGGAAAGATTTATTACCCTCCCCATCCCAGCAGTAAAATACACAGTGCTAAGGGCCCCAGAGGAGCGTCCGGTCTCGTCAGAGGGGTGCAGGGAAGGCTCTTGAAGACATAAGTCCTGCTGTTGGGATGTGGATGATGATTCCAGACTCGGGAGGCAAAGGGGGATGGGAGGTGGGTAGAGCTGTTCCAGGCGGCAGCAGCAAAGTCCTGTGCAAAAGCCCAGTGGCAGGCAGGGGCGGGCACGTATGAGTCCATGAGAGGAGACAGGCTGCGTGGCTGAGACCGGACCTCGCAGGGTTCCGTGGTCCTTGTTAAAGACTTCCTTTTTCTCCTTAGAGCAAAGAATACCGCGGAAGCTCGTGAGTCAGATGTGCGTTTTTGGAACGTGTGGACCAGGAGGCTGGGGCAGGGCAGTTAGGAGTCATCTGTGGCAGCGTCTAGGTCAGCAGCCAAGGTAAGGACAGGACAGACACCAGGCTGGCCAGAGAGGTGCTCGGAGCATCTACGGCCTTTCTCCTCACAGCTGAGCTCAGACCAGAGGGTAGGTGTGTGTCAAAGAAGGAATCTACGGTCTTCTCATTGGATCGTCACTCATCGTCCCCACCAGCGCCACCTCCTATCTCTGTAACAACCCACAGCCCATAATGCACGTGGGGACGGGAACCCAGTGGAGGAGGGAGATCGCGGTGTGTCCTCGGTCTTCCCTGCACGGAGCGTGTGCTGTGTGTTTGCACAGCCCGGCCCCGGGCGTCCCCAGAGCTGGAGATGGCAGAGTCGGTCTGCGATGGGATGAAAACAGAGAGTCCACAGCCTTTCCGGAATCACGGGCCCCTAACTGCGCCAAGCACAGTAGTGGGGCAGCAGGGCCGAGGAAGAGCCCAGAAGCACTGGCACGTGACACAGTCCCTTGGGCCGAGGAGGCTACGCTCGTGAAGCAGAATAACTTTCACGCAAGGTCTGCGGAAGCTGAGATGGCCTTCGATCTTTCAGAGATCCCGGTGCTGCTGGGGGAAGGGGGGGGTCTGGATTTACCAAAATCAAGTTACCAAAGCAGACACTCCCAACTCCAGAATGCCTCTGTGCAGAGGGCCCACATGACAAAAGTGGTTTCTATGTAAACCGGGTTCTCAAAACGCGGCAAGAAGGAAACCACCGCCTGTTACGGGACTCAGCAGAATAATGAAATGCTTTATTCAGCCACAAGAGGGAGCTGGCGGTTAACTCTGGAAATCCCGCTTGCTGACTAGTCGCTCTGATGGGGAACATCCTTAACCAACCAGGGAACTGCCGTGGGAGACTTCTTCTGTCTCAGAGCTACTCCTTCCTAACAGAATCTAATTTAGATTTTAAGAAATAAAAATTCAGCCCACAAACGGTTCAGAAATCTCCCGAAGCCCACTACGTTCTGGGCTCACCAGGTACTGGCACACTTTGACTCAGGGGACATCTGGCCACGTCTGAACACGTCTGGTTGTCACAACTGGGGAGGGCTCCTGGCATCTGGTCGGTGGAGGCCAGGGATGTCCCTAAACATCCCGCAAGGGCACAGGACGGCCCCCACCCCCAAACAGAGGATTAGCTCACCCAAAATGTCCACAGTGCCGGGTTTGAGAATCCCTGATTTCAATGAGAAGAGTAATTTTCATTCCCAGTGGGAAAGACCTCTCTTGGCAGTGGCTTAAGTGTGGCCAGTCTGGAAGCTCCTGGATACTGTCCCTGCCCACTGGGAGCAGCAGTGCCCCTGGGGAACACGTCTCCTGAGGGAGAATTGCCATCTGGCAGAATGGTTTGTCCCTTCCCAGGGGAAGTCTGAGGGCTGTGTGTGGGGCCGCCCACAGAAGACACCGCTGTAGGTGTCATTAGGTACCAGTCAGGCCTCAGGTCCCCAGGGTGGGTGACGTAGGCCTGCAGGTCAGGGATTCCGTGGTCTGTGTCAGGGTCCCGGGGCCCTGAGACAACCTCCAAGGTGACCAGGCACTAGCTGCTGGTTGAGCCAAACATGGGGATCAGTCCAGATGAGAACCCTGCGGCCAGATGCATGGGACACGGTGCGTGGGACACGTCTCATGGGACATGAGAACAAGGATGACAGAACTGGAGAAAAAGACGTGCCTGGGTGGCTCAGCTGGGTACGTGTCTGACTTCAGCTCAGGTCATGATCTCGTGGTTCGTGGGCTCCAGCCCTGTGTTGGGCTCTCTGCTGACAGCCCGGAGCCTGGAGCCTGCTTCGGATTCTGTGTCTCCCTCTCTCTCTGCCTCTCCCCTGCTCACGCTCTGTCTCTGTCTCTCTCAAAAATGAATAAACATTAAAAATAGTTTCTATAAAGAGATGGAGAAAAGGCTTCAGGCCAGGAAACTCCAGCCCCGCCCGGAGACCCCCGCATTCCCAGCAGAACTCCATGGAGCGTCTGGGGAGCAGGGGGGCCCCGAGGCTGGAGGCAGCCTCACGCTGGGCAGGCGGGGTGGGGGTGGGGGGTGGGGTTCAGAGATCCAGGGCCGAAGAGGTCCCCGAGGAAGGGAGCCACGTCTCCAAGCCGAAGAGAAAGAGAAAGCTGCATGCAGGGTTCCGACACGGGGTTTTCATTCCACAGGCGGCAGGGTCTGCCACGCTCACTCAGGCCTTCTAGGCACTTCTCTGCCTGTCCGTCTGTCCATCCGGCCCCCCGGTGGCGCTCCCCGTCCCAGCCGGCTGGGGCGGGCAGGTGGCATTATTCCAGCTGGATCTTCCACATCGGCCCCGACCCAAACCGTAACCTACGGATGGCTTCTTTCCTCCAGCGGCTTCTTGGGGCTCTCGCCGTCACCAGCTTCATTTTCCTGCTGGTTCAGCCTTTTGCTGCTTAAAACAAGGAAGCAGTGCAGTGGTCACAACGTGAGTCCAGATCTGTCCAGAGGCAAGAACTCATCCGATCTGATCAGACGAAAAGGCAGTGACAGGCCTTCAAAACAGCCCCACCCCCTTTAACTGGGGTTGTCCAGACACAAACACAGCCTCCGGTTTCCCTCTGTTGGGTGGGGGGAGGGGGTGATCACCTGAGGGCCACGGGGTAAAGGCAACCCCCCACTCAGATGACTGGGCGCACCGGGATGCACTGACCCTACTACAGACCCCAAAGTGTCTGCAGCCAGTGGGGGTCCGGCAAGAAGGGGACCGTTCAGGCCGGGTGCTGGCGGGACGCGGAACTAGGTCATGGCCGGCCCGGCCAAACTGGACACGAATAGTAGCAGTGACAGGCATATCAACAGTTCCCGCCATCGTCCATCATTTCTGGGACCCTGTGGCTAACACCTCCGAGAAAGGCGCCTGTTTTCCTGCCCGGACTGTAAGCGGTCAATACGCATCCACTGGCAATAAGCTGGCCCCTGCCCCCGTACCTGAGTGATCCCGAGGGGTGGCCCCCTGCTGCAGGGTCATCGTCGGTGGGGCCCCCCGAGTTCCCTTTCTCCCGGGGTGGGGGCTTCTTCCTTCTCGTCCTTACAGGCTTCTCTGCAGAAGACACATAAACCCAGACATTGGGTGACGTCAAGCACATGACAGCTTCCCTCGGCCTCACCCCGACCCAGCCGGGCATCTGCTGAGGACATCCACGGCCAAGGAGACACTCTGTGCTTTCTGCGATTACACCCATTTAACTTGTAGGGAAACTGAGGCCCGGGGAGGTGATGTGCTTTCCCAAGCTCACACAGCCGTTACGTGCCGGAGCTGGGATTCGAACCCAGGGCTGCCAGGCTCCCGCTGGGTTTCTGCCACGCCCAGCTGACCCGAGCTTCCGAAGCAGAAGGACCCTGACAGAGCAGCGTTGTTTTAAGAGACCCCTGTATTCTCACACACCTCCCTGTCTCTATCCGGCTACACCACCTGTGAGGTCACAGTAGTTGCCGCCGGCAGGGGGCCAAGGGCTAATCACCCCCGTCTGTAAGTCGGGGACACAGAGGACCGGGTGGTGAGCTGCAGACCTCAGAATCCAAAGTACTGAACGCTGGAGAGCAAGGCGGCCCTGGGGCTAAGTGAGTCCGCTTGTTGACGGGCAAGGACACAAAAGCCCGGAGAGGGTAAGCACGGTGCCCCAGGCCACACAGATGGTTAGTGGCGGACACGGGACTGGAGCCCATACTCCCGCTGCTGCTGTGCACCGCCTTCCACGACTTACCTGACGAGCCGCGCTTGCTTGAGAACGGTCTGCTTTCGGCGAGGGGCACCCGGGCCAATGCCGCCAGTTCTGAGACAAAGCTCTGCTCGGCCTCCTGGATACAAGGACGGAGGGTCATCTGGGTCCCCCTCTGCCCCGTCCCGCCTCTGCACCACAGTGAGGCTGACGCCCTCTCCAGGGTGGCTGATGGCCCCGCATCCCTGGTGGCAGACGGGTCTCCAAGAAGAACCAAGAGACGGCAGGAGCAGGGCAGACACGTGTGTGAGCACAGGAACCAGCACTTTCCGGCTCCTGCCAGGGAACTGTCCGTCCTCACTCACGCCAGCCAGGGAGCCCCATTTTGCAGAGAAGCGTGCAGAGGTGAGGGCTCAGAGAGGGACACGGCACCTGCTTCCGCCCGACTTCAGAGTCTGAGCTCTTAGCTGCCGACGCTGTGGCTTAACCACCGACCTGGATTCCGTAACTTATTAGCTGTGTGACACTAGACGGTGACTTCAGCTCTCAGAGCTGCAGTGTCCCCACCTGTACCTGGAGTACGACAGTGACCCTGTCCTCAGTTATGGGACGACGAGGTCAGATGGCGTGTGTAACGCTCTTGGTTCAGCGTCAGGACAGACGCTCAGGGAACGAACATTAACCACCTTGGCTCTCACCTATCGCTGCCACACCGGTGGGGACTACTCTGACCAGGCCAACACTCTGTTAAGTGCTTCCATTCTGGAATATCTGATTTTTTTTTAAGGCACCCACTTTCCTTTAAAAAAATTTTTTTTTAATATTTCTTTATTTTTGAGAGAGACAGAGACAGAATGAGAGTGGGTTAGGGGCAGAGAGAGAGGGAGACACAGAATCCGAAGCAGGCTCCAGGCTCTGAGCTGTCAGTACACAGCCCAATGCGGGGCTTGAACTCACGAACCACGAGATCATGACCTGAGCCGAAGCTGGACGCTCAACCGACTGAGCCACCCAGACGCCCCTATTTTCGTTTTTAATGTTTATTTATTTTTGATAGAGACAGAGCGTGAGCAGGGGAGGAGCAGAGAGAGAGGGAGACACAGAATCCGAAGCAGCTCCAGGCTCCGAGCTGTCAGCACAGGGCCCGACAAGGGGCTCGAACCCATGAACCGTGAGATCGTGACCTGAGCCAAAGTCGGACGCTCAACCGACTGAGCCACCCAGGCGCCCCGCCACTTTGTTTTCATAACCGCACTTTATGAGACTTCCCCGTGATGAGCTACCCACTTCATTTCACAAGGGCCAAGCTGCCCGTGTGTCCCAGGGAAAGTGCAGGCCTCGGTCACCAGCCGCACTGCCTTCGTGACCCTGAGAGGCCCACGTGATGGCGAGCCACGTGCAGGGAAGAGCTCACTTCTCCTCCGGCTCAACGGCGGGGAGATGATCGGAGCACAGGGCCTGGCCCCCCGAAGCTGCTCGAGAATCAGCACAGCCGCTGCCCGCCCCCAAGGCTCACGGCCAAGCCGTCAGCCAGCAAGACTCAGCCAGGGCCAAGGTCTTTTTGCCGCGACCTGTGGTCACGAGAGTGGCCTTTTGCTGCTCCTCTTCCTCCCTAAACCCCGGCCCGCTCCGTGAAGGCGCTTTTCCGACACTCGTACCTGTAGCTGGGTCTCAAGCTGGGCTTCCAGATGATCCATAGCCCTTGCCTTCTGCTTCCAAGCATCCAGGCGGATCCGCTGGTGCACGGTGAACTGGGCCAGAAACTTTTTCTGCTGTGCCGCCATCCTGGCAGAAGGAACGAAGGCCATCAGCGCCGCCCCAGCCGGCGGCGGGTTAATCAGACACCCAGCACAGACGTGCCCCCGGAGGCTGCTGAGTCGTGGGAACGGGGGAGCGGAAGCCGTCCTTGGGCCCGTGGAGCCCAGAGAGAGGAATGGCCTTGGCCGGCAGGATTTACGGTGGCTGCACGGCCTGTGACAGCGGCCGCAGCTGGAGTCCCTCCACCTGGGGGGGGGGGGGGCTGACTCATCATAAACGTGAGTCACGCTCGCGACTTTGCAGAATCCCGCGTGCGCGTTTTTCGTTCGGTCCCGCTGGGTCCTCAGCAATATGAGCAGGACAAAGGGTAGAACACTCAGGGCAGGAGGCGCTCAGAGGGGGCGGGGGCATCCCTGGGGTCCTGCAGCTGCCCAGTGACTGAACGGCATGAAAATCATCTCAACCCAGGGGTGGGGGCGCATTCCCCTGAAAGGGCCAGAGACCCACCAGCTACCCATCCTTACGGAAAACGTGCAACGGGATGCTCATCTCCTAGCCTGCAGCATCCGAGCCACGTGCAGGGAAGAGCTCACTTCTCCTCTGGCTCAATGGCGGGGAGACGATTGGGGCCCCCCTGAAGACAGGGGCCCATTACTCTGGGTGGCACAGCTCCGAGCGGGGGCGGCAGCAGGGTCCCTGACCGGGAGATGGCCCCCGCTTGCTTTCACCTTGCTTCCCCCCTACCCTGAATCCCCTCCTTCCTTGGCTGACCTTCCTCAGACCCTCAGCAAACAGGAACATCCCATCCCATCCACCTTGTTTTCCTAACAGCCCTTTGCCTCTTTCTTTCCAATCTTCTGTGAGGTCCTACATCTGCAGAAGCCACGTTTAGTGCCAACAGGGAGCTGTTCACGGAGTTTACCTGCAGGCACAGAATTGCACCTTGCTTTTGCTTCATGCTCCTCTGTCTGCCAGTCATAGCTTTCCCCTCTTCTTTGTAGTTGCCTGGCAAACTCCTATTCGTCCTCCAAAACCCCATCACTCATCCATCCATCCGTGTACAACTTCATTTATACATAAGAACATCTCTGGCCTGCCAGGTGCTGTCCTGTGTTTTGAAGATACAGGTGGGAACAAGAGACTCACAGTCCCTGACTTCACGAAGCTCCACTTTGAACTCGGGTAGAGGATAGATGCGGAACAAATAATTGATACAGATGAGGTCAGTGCTCTACAGTACAGCCTCCCCCACACCCTCGAGGAGGCTGCATTGGTTTCCTGGAGCTGCTCTAACAAAGGACCACAAGCTGAGGCGGGGGAGGGGGCGCTTAAGACAACAGAAATCTATTCTCTCACGGCTCTGGAGGCCAGAAGGCTTCGATCAAGGGGTCAGCAGGGTTTCTTTCCCTCCAAAGGTTCTAGAGGAGAGCTCACTCCCTGCCTGTCCCAGCTCCGGGCGGCTCCCGGTGATCCCTGGCATACGTCCGCACCGTTCCCATTCCTGCTTCTGTCTTCACGTGGGCTTCTCTGTGTGTGACCAAATCTCCCTCCACCCCACCTGCCCTTGGATTTGGGGCCCGCTGGAATAATCCAGCATGATCTCTTCTCAAGATCTTTCACTTAATGACATGTGCAGAGATCTTTCCTCTACATAGGTCACGCGCACGGGCTCCAGGGATTAGGACACGCACACACAGGTCACACGCACAGGCTCCAGGGATGAGGACATGCACAAATCTCCTAGGGGCCCCCATTCAGCGGCCAGGCGGCTTCTTGCTGTGAGCAGCCTGTCCTGTACCCATTCTGCCAACAGTCCTGGTCACTCTCGGCTGCCACCCTGACTGCCTGTCCGCTCCCCACCATGGACTTGGCTAATGGGCCTGCCAGGCAGTGAGAACTCTATCCGGGGGTGGGGTCGGAGTGGGGCTTCCCCCTGCCCGGTCCGGAGATCCACGAAAGGGTCCAGGGGGGACTGAGACACAGCCGCCTGTGTTTACGCGATGCCCTGGCTACACGTAGACACAGGGCAAGACGGGAGGCCAGAGGCCACAGCTCTAAGCCGGGAGTGAGACTAGAGAGCGACCGAGAGCCAGACAATCCTGCCTGCGGAAGGACAGCCATGTGGTGCTCTGGCCCGAGCATGACCCCCTTCGGCACTGCTGATCCTCTGGACCTTCCGGAAGGAGAGGATGCCTTACTGTAGGATCTGAGTCACCTGGATGGGTCATAAACCCCTTCCTTTTGGACTCCTATTTGATTATGGAAGTGGGTGTTTAAAAAAAACATCCCTCCTGAAAGAGTCCCGACTGCACAACTGTTTCAAGCCGCACTGCGCACCGTGCAGAAGGCACAGCAGTGACAATTGTGCTGGTGGTGAAGGACATCAGGCGTGGGTCGCTGGCCGCGGGCCGGCCCTGCCGTGGGCGCCGCACTCTCTGTGGGTCCTGACGGTAATGCCCTGTGAGTCAGGAGCTACCGTCCCCCCACTTCACAGATGGGGAGCCTGAGGCTCGGGGCGTGAAGGGACCTAGCCCGCGTGTGGCCAGTCCACCGCCGCATCACCTGGCACCCCTCAGCCGGGCTCTCCCACGATCCCACTGCTCCCCGGGGATGCAGTGTGGAGTTCGCCCTTGGACCGAGAATTGCTTTCATGCGCTTAGTCTCCTAACGTTCTTTTAAATCAACGATCCGTTCTCGCTACACGGCTCTGTCCCCAGGAGCCCTGGCGGACTTTCACCAGAAACTGCGAGCGGACGGGCACAAAGCAAAGGGCACCAACAGCCACGTATGAGCCTCTAAGTCACAGCAAGAGTCGGTCACGCACCCGCACCCCCACGGGGCTTTGCTTCCATCTCCCGTAAACCTGGCGGGGAGGTCGGACTGGGGGCGGCTGAGGCCCCTCCTCTTGGGTCACTGGGGTCCAGTTGAAGCCCTTGGGCTCCATCCATCAGAATCCCTGGAGAGGAGGAGTGGGGTAACGGCTCAGATTCCTGGGTCCCCCCGCACAGCCCCCGAGCCTGAGTGTCCAGGTGTGGGGCCTGGCATCTGCACGTTCGGCAGGAGAACCAAGTGAGATGATGCACCCCCCACGTCTGAGAGCTGCCGGGCCCGAGTCAGGTGGATAGCCGACCGTCAGGGCCAAGTGGCACCTAGGCGCGTGATGGCAGGACGTTTCCTGACCACTGCCAACGGCCGTCGGAGGATTTATGGACAGCGTGTGCGGGACTCAGTCCGACCCAGGGGACCCTGTGGTTCTTGTTTCCAGCCGTCCGATGAGGGGCTGGAATCTACTCGGAGGCCGCGCACGGAGCCCACGCCTCCATCCTGCAGGGCCGTGGCTGTCTGCTGCTTCCAGCCGCCGGGACGCCTCTGCCTAGACAAGGGACCGTCACCTGTCGTCCTTCAGCGCCCCTCCCCTCCCCCATGAGAGCACCCGCACAGATTTATTGCTGTTCTGCTGTCCGTCTCTCCCTCCAGGCTGTGAGCTCTGGGGTGACAGGCACTGTCCCCAGTGGCTAGCTCGGGGCCCAGCCAAGAGTCGGTACTTACAGGGGCGTGCCGGGCGGCTGTCCACACTTGGGTGGACGGTTTCCACACAGGCCAGTGGCTTCTTCCGCCAAACACCTGTGTCTGTGTCTGTCTCAGTGCCTTCTCTGGCCACGGGGGTGTGTCTGGCCAGCTCAGGGGCCGGAAGTGCTGGTGACATAACACCCCCAGGGCAGACCCTCAACCCGTGCGGAACAGGGCTTGGCAGACAAATCCCCTATCTTTTGCACCCCTTGTTGACATAATTGGAAGTTGAATTTTATACCATCTCCCAGAAGGTCCAGAGCGGGATTGGGCCTCAGTTGCCGTGGGCAGGCTGCACGGCCACAGGGTTGGTTTGCTGCTTCTCCATTGCGGTAGGCCACACAGTGCCCCTACAGGTGGCCTTGCCCTAATCCCTGGACCCGTGAAGACGTTACAGTACGTGGTAGCCGGGTCTCTGCAGGCTGGGTTAGGGTTATCGACTTTAGGATCTGGAGATTCTCCTGGACTATCCAGTGGGTCTCAATCACCACAACGCTTACAAGCAGAGAAGTTTCTCCAAATGGAGTCAGAGAGATGAGGCGGAAGAGGAAGGCAGAGGACTTCAAGCATCGAGACGCAGGGACCACGAGTGAGGACCAAAGAGAGGCCTCTAGAGGCCGGGTGGCCCCCAGCCGACAGCCACAAAGCAAGGGGACCTCAGTTCTACAGAGACCCGCGTTGTGCCGGCGACCTGGGCAAACCTGGGAAGATTCTCCCCAGAGCCTCGTCAAGAGCCCACCGGGCCGACACCCCGAGCTGGGCCATGGGAGACCCACAAAACCAGCACCCGCCGCGGGGACCTCAGGCCCGCAGAAGCGTGGGCCACGTAGCTGGCTGTTGTCATGCCAGCAGCGGGAAGCAGCTGGGGGCCTCACCTCCCTGCTCCCTCACGGTGCTTTCTGGGGTCACTTCCAGGGTGAACAGCCTGCTCCCGGCCCCCGTGCACGGGGGGATCCCACCCCACCCGGACTCACTCGTTCCCGTGTGCCAGGCCCCGTCCTGGGGGTCGCGTGTCGAGCAGGGAGCCCGACCGAGGCACGGGGGCCTCCACTGTGGCAGCCACGTGCACGCACCATCGGACGCCGAGTGCGCGGAGCCGACGCGTGGGAGGAGAGGAGAGCGCACAGGACAGAGGGGGCGAGCTCACCTCTGGTGGACGGCCGTGCAGGCTTCGCCAGATCCATTCACCGCCTTGCTCCCCGGCGAAGGGTCTCCGAATCCCTGCTTTGTCCGCAGCTTGTAATTCTCCGTTCTCTCACCTAGACCATTTAGCACACAAGGTCAAGGGGCATGCTTGGGGCTGGCCTCTGAGCCAGGTCTGGGGTGGGGCCGGGCACAGAGATCGGCAGGAGACGCGCTCTCAAATCGTGGGCCACTTACGCAGCACCTGCACTGCCCCTGGGAAAGGCTCCGCGTGCGTGAGAAAGCGAGGCTTCCGTCAAGGACCCTGCGCCCCCGGAGGAAGGTGACCCCTGCTCTCCCTGCAACTGCTCAGACCCCACTTTCTTGAGAGTTCCAGGAGCAAGGGTGGAGAACAAGAAAGGTTCCACTGCAGAGAGGCCGTCACGGGTAAAAATTCAGAGCAGAAGGAACAAAGCGTTCGACAGGCGGTGCTGTGGGTGTGCAGCCGGCCGCTCCCATGTGGGTGCTTTCCGGGAAGCCGGGAAGTCCGGTTGGGCCGGAGCTTTCTAGAACACACAGGTTTAACCTGGATGGTCTCTAACCTGGGTGATCTCTGGGGATGTGGCATTCTAGGACTCTTTAAAAAAAACAAAAAGAGCACTGAACGAAGCAGAAGGAGCTTATGTGGTCAGCTAGGGTGCATCATTTCAATGTATTTCCTGGGAAATCCTCGCATGAGAGCCAGGGTGTCAGGGAAACAGGAAATCTGAGCTGAGAGGATGCGTGGAGGGTGAGCCCGACCCTAGCCTCACAGATGGGGAAACCGAGGCCTAGAGAGGGAAGGGAAGGCCCCGGCTCCCGAACGCCCTGCGGTGACCATCTGTCTGTCTCCTGCTGACGGAGACCATCTGGAGTCACCGGGGCAGATTTCCAGGCAGGTGTCCAGATTTTACTTTGAGTCTGGGATTCAAAGTCCCCAGGACAGGGGAAGAAAAGGCACCTGCTGTGCTTACTGAGGGGACTGATATTCCCAGTAGACTGCACCCAGGACCTGCTGCCCACCGTTGGTCGAGGAATCGGTTCCAGCTCTGGGAAATCCAGGCAAAACCCATCTGAGAACGTGGGGTTCTATGCTGTTCTGAAGCCCCGGATGCAGGGAGGGACGTTACAAGCAGAGGCCTCGAGGAAACTGGCTTGTGTCTATTATTAAACACGTATTGTTGCTGGCTTTGTGGATGTTGTCCATTCTGTCACCCGGGTGGCCTCTTGTGAGGGCACGTGGGGGAAACTCTCTGGGTCTTAGGAACATCAGGGCTACTGACCTGTTCTCACTCGCTGTCACTGCACAGCTGTAACTGATGAAGTCCCCATCCCTTTGGCCACTAGGAAGCCCAGAGTCAAAACCGTGTCACCATTAGGTAGGGATCTGATGGCCTATGTCCCAGATCATGACCTCACCTGAACCTCATCTCACTGTCCTATCCTTGTCCTGATTCATCTACTTTTTAAAAAAAAAAAAATTTTTTTTAACGTTTTTTAATTTATTTTTGAGAGAGAGAGACAGAGCACAAGCAGGGGAGGGGCAGAGAGAGGGGGAGACACAGGATCCGAAGCAGGCTCCAGGCTCTGAGCTGTCAGCAGAGAGCCCGATGAGGGGCTCGAACCCATGAACCGTGAGATCATGACCCGAGTCAAAGCTGGACGCTTAACCGACTGAGCCCCCCAGGTGCCCCCTGATTCATCTACTTTTCAAAAATCCTCTTATACCTTATGGTCCTCTAGGTGGCTTTTTAAAAGCCTATTTTAGGGGGAGGGAGCAGGCAATCAATCAATCAACCGAACCGCCCCAGTAACGTTCGGAAGGTCTGACGTGCCATTGCGTCCCAAAGCAGGAGCACATCTGGCCTGCTGTGTGCGGGGCTTCCCTGAGAAGGGGGCCGTTACCCTGCAGGGTCTTCAGGAGTTGCAGCCTTCTCTCCTCGTGGTCCTGCATGACCCTCCCGATGTGCTGGTAATATGCCCGCACGAGCCGGCCGACGCCGGCACTGGTCACGTAGACACTCTCCACGGCCGCCTCCGTCAGCACTCTCTGCGGCAGGAGGGGGAAGACACAGCAAAGTCACACGCGGTCCCCCACCCACGTCCTGGTTCTTACCTTCTACCACGCCCGACCTTGACTGGTGGGGCAGCGGGCAGAGCATGGGTGGGTGGGTGGCTTAAGCCTGTCTCGGTGATCTTATGTCCTTGGTCAGGGATGCTCTGGGGATGGCTGTATGACTGGTTCTGGTCAGCGAGACCCAGTGTTAGGGAAAATCTGTCGGCGGGGTGGGGGGGGGGCACCTAGGTGGCTCAGTCGGCTGAGCGTCCGACTTCGGCTCAGGTCATGATCTCACGGTTCATGGGTTCCAGCCCCGGTCGGGGTCTGTGCTGACAGCTCGGAGCCTGGAGCCTGCTTCGGATCCTGTGTGTGTCTCCCTCTCTCTCAGCCCCTCCCTCTCTCACTCTCTCTCTCTCTCTCTCTCTCTGTCTCCAAAATAAAATAAAAACATTAAAAAAAAATCTGTTGGGAGACCTTCCCTTTACAAACATTAAGGCAAAGCTTAGGATATGGGTGAAAGATTTTGCGGTCTTCTTTGCTCTGCCTGGAATGCAGATCTGACGTCTGGAAAGGCAGTGGCCACTTTGAGACTAGGAGGGAGCGAACTAACGTCAAGAATGGTGGATCGGGAAGAAAGAGCCCGGTCCTTGCTCGCAGCCTCTGTGCCAGCCTAGAACCACCTACTTGCACATTTCTTGTAATGTGGGCTGAACAACGTCCATTTATTTGCCATTTGAGTATGTCTTTTTGTTACCTGCAGAAACAGGCAATCTTAAGCAATACACCTTCAGACCCAAAGTGGAGGCTGAGATGCCCCACCATCAGGCACATGCTGGCCGTGCCCTGGCAAAGTCACCGCCCTTCACTTCCCAAGATGATGGGAAGTGAAAGGTCAGAGAAGTCAGACGCCAGAGGCCCCCGTCTCAACAAACATCTATCAGATGGTTCCAGGCTTTGGGCAAGAAAAAATACCCACTTACTGCTGAGCAGTTACTGCTGCGCGGTTGGTTACGTTACGTTCCTGGAGCTGCGCTGTGTCATGGCGCCGCGGGAGACGTGCAGGGGTGTGTGGAGGCGGGGGAGGCGGAGCGGGTGGCGGAGCCGGTCTGAGCCGCCTGGAGCTCCCACGACCCCGCTCATCGCTCACAGAGCCGGTGCCCTCTTCCCCTCCCCTCTGCTGACCTCAGCACCCCCACGGAGGGGCTCCGACTCCATGCCTCCAAGGCCCCCGGACCTGGCCTCGAACTTTCTGCAGGAACTGCCTCCGATGGCTGCGCCCTTCCTTCGCTTTCATTTAGCTCACGGAGCCGGAGCCCGGAGACAGGAAGCCCCTCTTCTCCACCTCCCTCCCAAGTCAGCCGAGCCACGGGCACCATCAGGCCTCTGTCCTCCTGTCTTCCTGCCACAGGGGGGCGCTGTTCACTCCCCTCTGTGTCCGGCCGATGCAAGTCCCACGGAGAGCGCTTGCCTGCCTGGCTCGCCAGCCCAGCACCTGCCACGGGGCTTGGCACCAAGAAGCCCCGCGACTGGGACATTCTTCCAGAAACCGGACACCTGTTCTTTCTCGTAGCGGTGTGTGTGGGGAGCACTCCTCCCCTATCCTGACTCAGGCTCCCTTTGGGAAGGGACGCCATGTTCACGTTTCACTGCAATTTCGTGCCCCGAGCATCTATCGGGGAGGAGCTGTAGACTTTTAGGGAAAGGAGGTGACCCTTCCCAACACCACAAACCAGGCCCGGCCCTGATGTCTGGATGGCGGGCAGCAGACATGAGCTATCTGGAACGAGGGGGGGGTGTCTCAGCAACGTGGGTCCCCTCTCTTTGCTGTGCATAGAAGTACGGTGTCTGTAGCAAGCGGAGGTTTCTTGCCTTTCCTTATGGTCTGAGCCCGGGAGGCAGCCCGGGGGAGGCAGAATGTGTCCACGCTGTGCGGGGAAGACTGGGGTCCAGTCCCACTCGGCCACTTCCTAAGCCTGGGAGTCTTTAACCATGTCCTTTGCCCGTGATAAACCTCAGTTTTCCCATCTGAACAAAGGGAAGGAAAGGATCCTTTCTGGGCAAGGTTGTGGGCAGAGCCTGCTGAGACGCGGCCGGCGAGGCACTCAGGTAGACTTACGAGCACACCGCTGTCATCTTTCTCCCTAGGGCTCGTGGTCGGGGTCGGTTCAAGCAGGACACCCCCGCCCACCCAAGCCGAGCTGGTTTTAGCTGCACTCAGCTGTCAGGGTCAACTCTGCAAGGCCTCGTGTCCACCGAGGCAGCCAGAGGCAGGAGAGGCTCACGCCTGTCTCTCTCTGGCAGAGGCTGTCTCTGGATCCTGTGTCCACCACTGACCGGCCGGGCAGCTCTGGCTGAGCCCACGTCCCTCTCAGAGCTACTGGAAGGGCCGGGCCAGTGCTCAGAATAACGTTACAGGCGGGAAACCCCGCCGTCCCGTGGGGGAGGCGATTCCTGCTCGTGGAGGAGGAAGAGGGGGCTCGGAGAAGCCAGGTGCTTTCTGCCAGGCCCGAGGCTGGCTGCTGGAGAGGGCACCGCGGGGCCGGTGTCCCAGGCTGCTGCCCCGTCCACACCCTTCCCCCTGCCTGCCCAGCCCACCCCAGTCCCTCTTGCCTCCCGGGGCCCCGGGGCCAGGGGTCGGCTCCCACCTTGAAGTCGTCCCAGTCCTTGGCCCGGCTCTTGGTGGCCGCATTCCGCGCGTGGGCCAGCAGGGCCTGCCCGATGGCTCTCTCCGTGTGCTCCTGCAGGAGCCGCCCCACCTCCTGGGCCTCGGCCAGGAGCTGCTGCTGGAGCTGCAGCCGCATCTGCTGCGCCTCGTCCTCCAGCCTGCTGGCCTCCTCCACGACTCGCGCCTCCTGGAAGGGACAGGAGAGGGAGGAGCCCACGCTGCACAGAAGCCGCGGCCAGGGCCAGGACTGGGATGTGGGCTGGCCCAGCCCAGGGCCCCAGGAGGGGTGGGGGAGGGACTGAGAAGGGGCAGAAAGTGGGGACTTCTGGGCTCGCAAAGCCAACAATGGGTGAGCCGGGGCGTCTGTTCAAGAATCCCCCAAGCATTTATTGAGCACCAACGGTGTGCCCAGTGCCCCCTTGTGGCCCCTCACACGTACAAGAACTTCCTCATTCTTCCAAAATACTGTGAGGCCTGAACGCTAGGAGTGACGGGACACAGAGGCTCAGAGACACTAAGTAACTTTGTAAAAGTCACACAGCAGACCTACGTTCTGAAGCTAGACCTGAGTCTGAGCACAGTCCGGGACATCATGGAAGCCAGGGCAGGGTCCTGGGACTGCCCTTCGTTATGGGAATCGGAATTAGAGAAGGAGGGGAGGGGAGTCAGAAGGAGGAGGGCCAGTCCTGCCTGCTTCCCGCTGCACGCTCCTGGGGAGAGTGAAAGTCACTGTGAGCTCGTCCCCCACTAATGGTCAAAACGCCAGCTGCTCCAATAGCTCGGGTGACTCCATGAGCCCTGCAGTCAGCCTGCTTGGGTTGAGATCCCAGCCCGGCAATTTCCAAATCCTTTCTTCCCATTTGTTGAAACAGAGAAGCCCCTTTCTCCCAGCACCCTGATGGCGACCGTACGTATCTGTTTTGTGATTTCATCTGCATGTTTAGCCCAATTCTCGATATGGCATGCACTAAAGCCCTTGGGCACACGGGGCGCCCCCACGGGAGGCTGCCATCATCCCACCCACCCCCCTGCAATAAGAGGCGTGGCGGGATTTGGGCTCCGGCAAACACGGCCGAACCCGGACCCGGCACGGCCTGGCTGGGACGGGTAGGGCCCGACATGCCGATCTTACCAAGGCTCTGAGCAGCTGCCACTGATGCTCGTCCAGACACTGGGAGGAGGAGCCCTGCTCAAGGGCATGCTGCTCACGCAGCTCCTGGAGAAGACTCTTCTTCCCGGCAAGTCTCATGTGGGTCAGGGTGGTGATGGCGCTGCCCCGGAGAGCCAGCCTCCGCAGGGCTGAGCGCAGCAGCAGGTCGTGTCCCTGTAGGATGTACCACGTGGACCTTTGAGGAAAGCAGGCAGGGGGCTGGGAGTCAGTGCTGTTGGCTTCACTGAGGGTGACGGTTAACTTTGCCAGCTGGAATGTTCACAAGGCGCCTGGACATCTAACCAAACATTATTCTGGGTGTTTCTGGATAAGATGAACATTTGGATCAGTGGGCTGTGTAAAGCAGACCACCCTTTCTAATGTGGGTGGGCCTCATCCAATCAGTGGAAATCCTGAAGATCAGAAAAGGCTGACCCTTCTGTGGGTTGCATTGGCCTAGAACATGGGTTTGGTTTTTTTTTTTTTTTTTTTTTCCTGCCTTTGGACTTGAACTGAGATACCAGCTCTTCTGGGGTGTCAAGCCTTCAGACTCAGGAGTGAAAATATACCATGGTCTCTCCTGGGTCTGGAGCTTGCCAACAGCAGATCTTGGGACCTCTCGGTCTACATATATTTCTCTGGTTGGTTCTGTGTCTCTGGACGACCCTAATACATTGAACTACCAAGAAATGCCTCAAGTAATCATGCTCCACAGGGAGCCCCTCCAGAAGGAGGGCGGTTGGAATTATCTGATCTCATGTTGCCTGTTCTCCATTTGACATGGGTATTCTCACCTATATTCAGTCATCTGTTCTTTGATTCGTGTTTTCAACTTTATCACATCCTGCCCCAAGTTTCTGATGCATTTATGCAGCTTTCTTCAGTACACATCCACATGAATTTCTTATATTAACTTTCCAAACCAACACATCCCAAGCTGAAATTGTGGGCTGTTTCTGAGTTTCCATCTCAATGACTCAAGTGAAAAATAATGGTTTACCAGACAGGCCCAGCGTTTGGTATTTTCTGACAGCCTGAAAAGCTGAACAGAGTGGGGGCAGTCAGCCTGCCAAGGAGGAGAGACCAGGCAAACACTCCAGGCTTTTCAGCTGGGGGCTCTTGTCCTAAGAGTAAGGAATCATCCCTCACAGAGGCTTAATTTTCATTCCGCTAAGTTCAAAACTGGGGTCGCAGACCTGCTGCTATGGGAAATCCCTGCTAGAAGTAAGATAAATCCTCTCTGGAGGAAGATCCCATCATTCAAAATCTTAAATGATCTCTTATCAAAATTATCTTAAATTGTCAAAATGTTAAATTTTGAGCAACAGCGTCTAGCATCCGATGAAAATAATCAGACTTGCAAACAGATACGAACTGACCAAAAATAAAGAGAAAAAACAGACAATAGAAACATACCCAAAAGATAGTGGCTGTTGGGCTAATCAGACAAAACCTTCACAACAATTATGATGAATATGTGTAATAAATTAAATACGTGAAGACTTTCAAGAAACAACTGAAAGCTGTGAAAAGAATCAAATGGAAATTCTAGAACTGAAAAACAGTAGATGGACTTAACAGCAGATAAGACGTTGTTCAAGAGACCGTGGATGGGATGGTAGCTCAAAATATGTGTCTAGAACTGAACCACAGAGAACAAAAGAATGATAAATAAAGGACACTCTGTAAGATGTATGTGAGATAAGGCAAAAAGTTCTAATAAAATGTAGAAGCGGAGCCCCAGAAAAGTAGGGAAAGAACAGGCAAAAGGAATATTTAAAGATATAATGGCTGAGAATGTTCAAAAACTGATGAAAGACTGCAAATCAGAGAAGGCTTAAGAAGCACTATGGATTTATTACACAAACAAGAAATGCCCGGAAAACCACATGCATGGTTAGATGTATCATAATACACCAATGAAAACCAAAGAACAAAAGGAAATCTTAAAAGCAGCCAGAAATTATTGAAATCGGAAGACAAAAGATTATCTTTCAAAGTATTTAGGAAAAGAAAAACCAAATTGGGATTCTATACCCACTGAAAACATTCCTCAGAAATGAAGATGAGATAGACCTTTTCAGACAAACAAAACCTAAGAGAATTTGTCACCAGCAGATCTGAAATAAAGACACAGGAAACAATCAAGAGCAACTGAAATGGTAAATATGTGAGCAAATCTAAAGAAATACTGACAGTTGGGGTGCCTGGGTGGCTCAGTTGGTTGGGTGACCAAGTTTAGCTCAGGTCATGATCTCGCAGTTTGTGAGTTCGAGCCCCACGTCAGGCTCTGTGCTGATAGCTTGGAGCCTGGAGCCTGCTTCGGATTCTGGGTCTCCCTCTCTCTCTGCCCCTCCCCTGCTCATGCTCTGTCTCTGTCTCTGTCTCAAAAATAAATAAATCATTAAAAAAAAAAAGAAATACTGACTGCATAAAACAATAATTATAATATCTCACAGGCTTGAAAATAGAGAGAGAAGTAAAATACCCACTAAGAAAAGCATCATCTATGAGGGAGGAATAAATGGAATTAAGGTGTTCTAAGGTGTCACACTTCCCAGAAGAAGGAATATATTAATGTACATCAGATTTTGGCAAAAATCTAAAAATGTTTAACCATTAAAAGCACAGTAACAGAATACATAACTAACATGCCAAAAGAGAGATAAATTAAAATGATTAATAATAACAATAATAATAATAATAACACCTAATCCAAAGGAAGGCAAGAAAGGAGAGAGAAAGGAACATAGAGCAGGGAGAACAAACAAAATAAATAGTAAGGTGACAGATTAAAAATCCAAATATATCAGCATTAAGATTTACATTAAATATAAATGGACCAAATATTAGTATACTTAAAAGACACAGGTTTTCAGGCTAGGCAAATCTTGCAGTTGCTCCCTATTATCTTAGCAGGGCTCACAGAATTTTCCCGTGTGTTGTCATCTCCTTCCCCTGTATTATCCAATAAGATAGTTATCCCCCTACTTCTGGATGTATACACAAACTAGTTTCCTGGAAAAGGCTGGCAACTAGAAAAAGTAGTTTTATCAGAATAATTATTCTCATAGAAAACAAGGAAAAATAAATATTTTAGAGTAAGATGAAAATATGGTATTACACTAATAGCTACAGAAAAAACAGACTAGGATATACATTTATTAATAAATTGAAAGTGATGGAAAGTGGGCACAAAGAGTTTTGTTTTTTTTTTTAAGTGATGGAAACGTTCTAAATTTTGATCATGGTCATAGGTGCAGAACTCTTGTCAGTTTACCAAAAATCACTGAATTGTACACTTAAAATAATGTATGTGAATTATACCTCCAAAGAAAGTGTTTAAAATATTCCTATCAAAGACAGCTCTACAAAGTAGGTGTGATTAGCCCATTTTATAGGTGAGGAAATTGAGGCAAGAAACGGTAAGTCATTAGCCCAGAACATTTCTGACTCCACGCCTTTATCCGTAGCACCCTGTCACTCTCTTCCACGTTTACATTTACAGATTGGCTGGTGTCCAAACCACACGGTAAGAATGGCAGGGGACGGTTAACTTGCCCACTTTGCGGATGAGAACACTGAAGCTAGCATGGATCACACAGGCCCCCACCCTGCAGAAAGCTGTACTCACTCTTCACTGAGGCCACCAAATCGGCCCAAGACTTGGTGGACGATGCTTTCATGGCCATCTCGCAGGTGCGTCTGCAGCACAGTGGACAGGGTCCACTCCTCCATCCACACCTAGGCCCAGCACAGAGGAACAGGGGTCAACTCACGGCCACTTCACCCATCACTGCTTTGTTGGAACATGCCTTTTGTTTCTTGTCTCAAAGATCCTTTTCTCCCCTGATTTCATTAAAAATTCCCCTCACCGTTCCTTCTAGAGATTTTTAAAGTTTCTTATTTGCCTTTAAATCTTAAAGCCAATTTCACATTCATTTTCTGTGGTTTGAAGAAGGGATCCAATTTTTTTTTTCTGCATAAATGGATACTAATTGTGCCAGCACCATTTATTACCTAATTTGTCTTTTTATGAGTGGTCTGTGCCACCTCCATACACACACAAATGTCATTCTAGGCTCTCTGTTTTGTTATGAGTCTGTCTTTATTTCCGCATCAATACCACACCGCTTTAATCGCTGGTGCTTACAGCAAGACTTCATAGCCAGGCAAGTCCTCCCATATTCTTACACAAAACTGTCTTAACTATTCCCGGTTGTTTTTCCTCTCCTATGAATTTTAGCATCAGTTTATCAAGTTTGGGGAAAAAAGATTTTGGATTTTCTTGTAGTTGAACTGAATTTATAGATTAATTTGGAGTGGATGACCGTCTTCCCAAGATCGAGTTTTCCCATTCAAGAACATGGCATTTCTTCTCAGTCTTACTTTAAGCCTCCAATGACATTTTATAAACTTCTCTATTAAGCTTTTATACACATTGGTCAGATATATTTTTAGGGACCCTACGGCTTTTATTTGGAAGGGGATCCTTATTTATGTTATCACTGGGTGCTGCTGCTATGTGAGAAACGTACTGGTTTGGGATGCTGGTTTTGTATCTGGTAAGTTTACTGAGCAATCTGAATAGTTGTAATTGTTTGCAGATTCTTTGGGCTTCTCAGTGGAGACAGTCACGGGGTGCCTGAGTGGCTCAGTCAGTTAGGCATCGAACTTCAGCTCAGGTCATCATCTCACAGTTTGTGAGTTTGAGCCCTGCATTGGGCTCTCTGCTATTAGCACAGATCCCACTTCGAATCCTCTGTCCCCCTCTCCCTCCCTCTCTCTCAAATACACATTTTAAAAAACTTCAATGGAGACAGTCATATCATCCACAATAACCTACATAGGAGCCACACAGGTCATGGATTGTGTTGTTTAGATCTTATTTTTATGGCCTGATTTGTCATCTGAACAGTCTATCATGTTCTGTGAGATGAGGTGTTAGAATATTCCATCATGATTTCCATCTGTTCATTTTTCCTTTTAATTCAGCCGAATTTTGCCTAATGCATTTTCCTGAGGAGTTGTTTCTTTTACATTATATAATGACCCTCTCTTATCCCTCAAGAATGCTTTGTGCCTAACGTAGTTTGTCAACTTTCTCTTGGTTGGTATTTGCCTGGTATATAACTTTTGGTGTCATGATGCTGTAGGTGAATCTCATAATGTCATGTAGCGTGGGGAAGGTTTCTCTGCAACTTACATGCATTTGTTACTATTCATTGTGACTGATGGTATACTTGGACTTATTTCTACCATCTTGTGGTTTCTGGTTGCCATGAATTTCCTTTGCACTGTTCACCCCCTCCCCTTCTATTTGCCTTTTAATGGGACTGACTGAGCAGTCTCCAGGAGCACAGCTGTGGTTAACGAGCTGGGTTATGGCTCAGTGCAGGGAGGGAGAAGGTGCACCACGGGGACACGGGAGACATCTCAGGTAGAGGGTGTTAAGCCTGACTGTAGGATTTAGGCTTTGGAGGGTTCAAGGTAGTGGAGCCTTGCTCTGGATTGGGTGCTGTTGAAAGGGGTCATGCAGTGATGGGGCATCTCTGTAAGTCCTTCCTAGAAGGAGGGCAATCTGGGGTCCCTGGTTGGCTCGGTGGGTTAAGCGTCCGACTTTGGCTCAGGTCATGATCTCACGGTTCATGGGTTGGAGCCCCGCATCGGGCTCTGTGCTGACAGCTCAGAGCCTGGAGCCTGCTTCAGATTCTGTGTCTCCCTTTCTCTCTGCCCTCCCCCGCTCACACTCTGTCTCTGTCTCTCTCAAAAATGAATAAACATTAAAAAAAATTTTTTTTAGAAGGAGGACAAGGCTGTCATTGCGGAAGAAGCAGCCCTCAGTCATCTCAGCCAGGATAGGGGCACGGTTGGTCATTTCTGTGGCTCTGGCAATGTTCACATGTTACCTGCGTTCAGACACGCTTACGAGCTGGTCTCACTTTATCCCCATCCTTCCCGCTCACAGAGTGGCCTTGTCCAATGTTGATGTTCTGTGACGTGGTTCAACAGGAGACCCAGGCCCGTGGGTCCCAGGCGGCTCCTGCGTGTGAGGGGCTAGTCCTGTCTCTCTCACGTGGGGAGACTTCATCCCGGCCTTACACACTTAACCTGTCAGTACAAAGCTCAACTTCCCTTTCTCCAGAATAGGACAAATGCAATTCTGCTGTTCTGTCCTATTTTCTAAACTCCTTGTTTCTGAACCATTGATGTTCCTTTTGTCGATATTCTTATTTCCTTTTCCCTACTGCTTTCAAAGTTGTGTATCGTACACCTATTCCTTTTGTGGATTTAGTTTTTTTAACAAACATTCCTGACTCCACAAACCTAAGCAGTATCTCCTTGACCTGAGAATTCATGTCTGCCACCAGTTCTGGAAGTCTCCTATCCACTATCGCTTTGAGCACTTCCTCTCCTTCATTCTCTCCATCCTCTCTTTCTAGGATCCCATGAGAAAGCTCCTGTGGGACATTATCGTTCTGGTGCCCACGCCCCTCAGTCCCTGTCCTATGTCCCCTCTCTGCCCTGCATTCTGGACCTCATTCTCACATCTATCTTCTAACATTTCACACCCTGCCCTGTCAGCCGTGTTCAATCTGCCATTTAACTGACTCATCCGTTAAATATCCGCTTCCATCACTAGAATTTTCATCCATAAAAGTATATGCTTTTTTTTTATCTGTTGTCTTTTTTCCCTGCGTCCTGCTTTAACAGCTAGTAATTCCTTCTGCTAAGGTTTTTTATTGTTTTAAACATACATCCTTTATAAGAGCTCCTTTTTTTTTTTTTCACCGTTTTTATTTATTTTTGGGACAGAGAGAGACAGAGCATGAACGGGGGAGGGGCAGAGAGAGAGGAAGACACAGAATCGGAAACAGGCTCCAGGCTCCGAGCCATCAGCCCAGAGCCCGACGCGGGGCTCGAACCCACGGACCGCGAGATCGTGACCTGGCTGAAGTCGGACGCTTAACCGACTGCGCCACCCAGGCGCCCCAAGAGCTCCTTTTTTATAAAATTATTTTAATGTTTCTTTTTGAGAGACAGAATGCGAGCAGGGGAGGGGTGGGGGGGGGAGGGAGAGAGAGAGAGAGAGAGAGAGAGAGAGAGAGAGAGAATCTGAAGCAGGCTCTAGCCTCCGTGAGCTAGAGTGCTGACCCTCGTCACTGCTACAGGTAATTTTGTGGCTTTGGACAAGTTTACTCTCTGTTTCAAATGTTTATTTACTAAGAGAAAGTGGAAAGGAGCCAGAAGTCAGGACATGCCCGGCACATGCTAAGGGTTTTGTAGTGCCCTCCCACAAACAGGGTGGGCTTCCAGGCAGGGGGGTTTCTAAAGCTAGCACCTCAGGCAGATGATGTAGTGCAGACGGAGGGGAGCACCGCCGTTTTAAAAAACACAGTCGGGGTAGGTCTCGTTGTGAGGGTGGCCTCGTGTGAGGGTGACATGGGAACAAAGACTTCCCGCAGACACAGCAAGGCAAGAGCAGGCCCGTCAGCTGGAGGAGGAGAAGGCCAGTGTGGCCGGAGCGAAATGAGCCGGGGGGGGGGTGGGGGGGGGTGGGGTAATGAGCAGGTCACAGGGAAGCCAGGTCCTGACATGCAGGGCCTCGTGGGGCACTGTGAGGACACCGGCTTTACACACGAAATGAGAAGCCACCGGGGGGTTTGGAGCACAGAAGTGACACAACGTGACAGTGTCTTTTAGCAAACCTGACGTGCTGGAGATTGTAAGATGCACGATCATTTTAAGTATCGCTAAGGGGAAAAAAAAAATCGCTGCGAATTAAATTACGATGCATCGCAACTTCCAGGTTGGGAAAGCACGTTTAAAATGTGCATCTTAAAAATTAGTGTCATGTGGTATGTTTTTAAAGTATCACTCTGGCCGGGGGTTGAGACTAGATCACAGCGGGGGAAGGCGGTTTCAGGGGGACCAGGGGGCCGGCCGTCTTGGTGATCTGACGAGAGGGGTGGTGGCTACGACCAAGCGTGAGACCAGGGGTGGCCAAAGTGGCTCCGCTCTGGACTAGACAGAAGGCAGAGTCAGTTGGATGTGGGGTGTGCTAAAGAAGGGTGAGTCATGGGGTGCCTCGGTGGCTCAGTCGGTTAAGCGTCCACCTTCGGCTCAGGTCACGATCTCACAGTCCGTGAGTTCGAGCCCCGTGTCAGGCTCTGGGCTGATGGCTCAGAGCCTGGAGCCTGTTTCCGATTCTGTGTCTCCCTCTCTCTCTGCCCCTCCCCCATTCATGCTCTGTCTCTCTCTGTGTCAAAAATAAATAAACGTTAAAAAAATTAAAAAAAAAAAAAAGGGTGAGTCGAGGCAACCCCAAGGGTCTTGGTCCGGTTGACTGGAAGGATAGAGGAAGGACAGAGAAGAGTGTGGATGGAGAGGGTTCGCAGGAAGACGGGGGGCAGTTCTGTTTCGGGCATGCGACGTTGCACATGCCTACGAATCACACGCACAGAGATCTCAGGGAGAGAGCTGGGCTGGGACACATTGCGAGCTGGAGACATAAATGAGCGAGCTGCCGACCTCAGCCCCACCACCACGAGGAACAGCATCCTGCCGAGGACTGTGTAAGTGAGCTTGGATGCGATCCCCTCCCAGCCGAGCCCCTGGAGGAGACTCAGCCACAGCCTTGACTGCAGCCCTGAGACCCCAGGCACGGGACTCCGTGTCCGGACTCCACCACTGAGGCGGCAGAAGCGAGAGAGCCAAGCAGCGGTTTCAAGGAGGAGGGGAGGGCCCAACTCCAGAGGACAGGAGCTCTCGATCTGGAAAGCGGGAGACAGCGCGGACGGAGCCCAGGTGCTGTGGCTGAGCGCGGCAGGACAGGCCGGGAGCTCAGCACAGGCGGGGGCAGGTGTGGTGGCCAGGTGATGGAAACCCGCCAGGGGTGGAGTGGAGAGGGTGCGGGCAGAGTGGGAGGTGGCACCAGGACTCAAAGCCTGCTGGACCGACTGCAAGGCGGTGTCCCTTACAGCAGTAAGTGCTACGGGGCATGCGACTGCCACATTCCTTGTCAAAGGTGCGAACTCCGTGGTGGCCTATTATTCTCCTACTTCTGCTGTTTGCGCTGCAAACTTCGTAGCTTGAAACAACACAAACTCATGATCTTATACTTCTGGAGGCCAGAAGTCCAAAATGGGGCTCAAGGGGCTAAAATCAAGGTGTCAGCAGGCTTCCACACCTTCTGGAAGCTCCAGGGCAACATCCATTTCCCTGCCCTTTCCAGCTGCTGGAGGCCACCTGCATTCCTTGGCAAGTAGCTGCTTCTTCAATCCTCAATCTGGCGATGGCTGGCTGAGACTTTCTCTAACCAACCACATCACTCTGACTCTCCTGCACCACCGCCCCACCCCCCCCCCCCCCGCCACTCCTTTGTAAGGACCCTGGATAGTCCACAATTGCCCTATCTCAAGATCCAAAACTTAATCATTTTTGCCAAGTCCCTCTTGCCATGTGAAGTCACATGATCACAGCTGTTGGGAATTAGGATGGGGGTTCCTCTGGGGGGGGGGGGACCTAACCCAGTGGACTGGGGAGAAGCCCAGAAACCGACATTAGAACACATTACTTTTTGAGAACCACTATGCTACAACCTGTTCCAATTGGGTAATCGACAGATTCCATACTGTTTAACAACTTCCTGGAGTCCTAAGACACGAAATCACCAAAGCCCTTTGGGTAGAAGGCAATTTCACAGCCTGGGTGTGCGTTTCATTTTCCACGAATAGTTTGTTGGTGCTTTTCTTCCTACCACTAAATATTCACCCGAGTCACAGAAAGCTCATCTGTCACTTTGATCGTCAAGGAGGAAATATAGCAAGCGGAAGTGCACACGGACCTCTAAGTATCTTGTGGAAATTGACTGCAATTAAATGACCAATCAGTCAGTTAACTGTGACATATACACATGGAGAAAACGGTCTTGGGTCATACTTATCCAATCAGCTGATGAGGTCAGTAACCATCCTGCTTGCTTCTTGCATGCAAAACTCCTGAAACACTGCTACACAAGCCAAGGAAAATTCACATGCACACGAATACTCCCAGAGCAAATAAATAGGAATTAATAACCAGATGTTATGCGCTGTCTACGATTTGCTTCAAATAACTTAAGACTGATAACCAGAGGGTTTCCGATGCATCGTGGATGTGGGTGTTAATAATTTATCGGAAATGAAATTCTGGATCTTTTTTCGATGTCAATATCATTAAGTAATGAAACGGACGCTGTGTGAAAGGTCTTATCTTGCATTATCTCAGAGCAGCCCTGTTGGGTATTTGATCCCAATTTTTCACACCGAAGCAGAGATTCTGAGACATTTAGCAAGTTGTGCAAAATCCCCGAGCCGTGAAGAGTCAGCTAACCGGCCAAGGTCACCCAGCCCATTAACGGGTTGCGCTGACTCAAACCCAGGCATCCAGCTTCCAAGGTTAGGAGCCCGTCTGCATTTAGGGAGTCTTCATCAGGGGCACGTTAGACTCACCTGGCGATCTTGTCCCCGTCCCTCCCCAGAGACTGTAAATGAAGCGGCCTGGGCCCAGAATCGCTATGAATCCACAGATTCAGCTTCACGTACATCCCTAAGGTGAGCCTGTGATAAGTTCCGAGGCCGCACTGTTGTTGTTGGTAATGCAGCAAACTTTTCCTGAGCCCTTGCTGTGTCCCAGCCCCTGGGCTTTCCATAAGGGAGTGTAAAAGTGAAAAGCAGCGGTGCTGTCCTTCCGGAGCTTAGAGCCAAAGGCAGGAGGCAGTAACCAATGAAAGGAAAGCATGATGCAACTGACAGAGGACTGAGATAAACCAGAAGGAAGTCCAACAGGAAACTAGGTCTTGTGCTGCCCTGCGGCTCTGAGTGGCCATGTGTTTGCATGATGCTTCCTCTTACTTACTTGGTACTTTGGACAGCGCCAGTCAGCTGCTTTGGAAAACCTGCATTCCTTTCATCAGCCCAGTGCTCTTTGGTAATGATGGGTGTACTTGGACTTGGGAGACCCATTGTAAAGAGATGGGGGGGGGGGGGTTGTTTTTAAAAACAAGCACGGGGGGGCGGGCAGTCCGAGGCTGGGACAGTGACGCACACTCTCTGTCCTTACCATCCTGAGCAGCCTCCATTCTCCTGCCTCTGAGTCAAAGGAAGGCTGGGCCACCCCAGGCCTGCTGCACATGCTCTGGGCAGGAAGAATGGGGAGTCCTGAAGAAGGCGATTTCTCCAAGCAACACTTGGCTTTTGTATTAGGTATTGGGAAAGGGAAGCTCTTTGCAGGGACCACACTTTGAGGCCAAGACTATCGGCCACTGCTAGATACCCGGATATCGAACACATTAGTTTTAGAGCCTCTAGCGTGCAGGAAGGCCAGGGAGAGAAAGGACACGCAGGTGTCTGTCACGCTTGGCAATTCCCCCTTTGTTGGACACATTTTAGTTGTTCTTTAATAAAATTAATGTCTATTCCCTTCCTATTGCGGCTGTCACACATTCCCACAAATTCTGTGGTTTAAAACAACACAAAATCATGACCTTACAGTTCTGGAGGCTCCGGGGTTGGGTGGCGGGGGGATCCACACCCAGCCTTTTCCAGCCTCCAGAGGCGACTGCATCGCTCGGTGTGTGGCCAGATCATGCCAACCTCTGCTCAGGTCACTACTTTTCATTCTCCGTCTCTGACCCTCCTCCTTCCCTCTTACAAGGACCCTGTGATTACACTGGGGCCACCTGGTGACTCCACCTGGAGAATCTCCCCATTTCAACACCCTTAATAGAATCACTTCGGCAAGGTCCCTTCTGCTGTGTTAAGTGACACGTTCACGGGTTCTGGGGATTAGGATGTGGACGTCTTCGAGGGCCATTATTCTATCTACCACATTTATACGTGGTTTTAATATTGAAACAGACTTGCACTGAAAAGCGGGAATTCTATGTGTGTAGCAGCCTCCCCCCCCATGACCAAGTCCACTCCCTTACAAGCCACCTTCCGGCCTCCCGTCGTTCTAGAGAACTGCCCCTTCCTGATGGATCAGCCGGAGACATTATCTAGTGACTTCTCAGCCTCTGCTCTCCTCTCCGGCCCACCCTGGCGGCCGGGGCTGGCAAGCACAATCTTGGTACCGTGCCCAACACGGGCACTAGGGGACGCTCCATGGACGAAATCTCTCATTATTCTTCCTAAGCGCAAAACATGCGGATCCCAGACCTGGTTTTACAAAATACCCACCTGCTTGTCTTGCTCCAGGAGATCTTGGAAAAGTTCCCACTGCTGTTTCCGGAAGCGATCGGACTTCCCCAGCTGCCAGGCTGTGTTCTCCTGGACCTCCTGCCTCAAGTTCTCACAGTCTGCCTGGGACAGACCAGTCATTCCTGGGAGCGTCTGAAGGAACAGGACGTCCACAAACTTCTGGAACGTTTCCATGGTGCTGCGGTACAGCTCCTAAAGCCGAGAGCCACATGATGGAGTTATAAGTCGTGGTCTCACTCTGGGCAGGGCCGTGGGCTTCCCACAAGACACACAGCAAACCCAGCGGAGGGAGCTCTCAAGCCACAGACACACACACACACACACACACACACACACACACACACACACAGGAAACACCTGCTGCCTTCCAGCCCGTTCACCCCGACCCAGTCCTGCCGTCTGCCCCACAGGCCCTGACTCTCTGGTGACCCCTCTGAACTTCCCTCCAGATTATTTTTACCACCCCTGGCCTCTCAGCCTCCCTCCACCCCCCACACTTAGGCCGGTTATTTGCATAAACCACAGATCTTATTATCATTCCAGCTCAAATAACCTGGAACCCCTCTCTTCCGGTCGCTATCAGGGTCACCTAGCAGGGCTGCTGGGAGGTCCTGCCCCACTTTCCACCCTTATGTTCCCTTCAGCCCACCTCGCCCACTCCAGTCTTTTCCCGAAAATGTATTTCTTTAAATTGAGGCAAACCAAAAAACACATGTACGGTAATATATTAAACACCTGTGATTCCACCACTCAGATCTTTTATTTTTTGTAGATTAAAAATACCAAAGTTTACAGGTGAAATTGGAATCCTTTATGTTCCTCCTGTCGTTCTTCTCCCCCTCCCTCCCAGCGTCCTCAGAGGCATCCATCCCCATGGCCTCAACATCTCTCTTTCCAGCTTGGATTTCTACACCCTCACGACATGTTATGTTCATAAATGTGGCTTTCATGTGAGTTACCCACATAAATGGCATCTTGTGGCACGTTTCACGACACAGAGGCTTTTTCAAGCCACTCTCCTTGCCCCAAATCCAGACACTTTCATTCCTGGAGTGGACTCCTCTTCATCCTGCAAAACCCCTGCAAAATAACCCCTTCTCTGTGAAGCACTCCCTGGGTGGCTCAGACTAACGTGGCTTCTGTCTCTGACCCTGGCTTCCCACAGCTCTTTGGTCAGCTGCCCAGGGCATTGAAACTACAATTTATCTGTCACCCCTCCCCCAAACCACAGTTCTCTGAAAGCGGGGGCCACATGGTACTAAGATCGCACCAACATCTTGTGTCCTCCTGGACCAAACACCTGGGTTCAGTACCTGAATGTATCACGCACGGACGTGACGTCCAATGCCCATTCTGCAATCTCTGCCTAGGAACTCCCCGCACATGTCCCAAAACTCAAGCTGCAGTCTCCTCTTCGGGGAAGGCCTTCCTGACTGCAGGGTTTGACTGGACTCAGTGTGATTTAGGCTGAACACCTCCTTCCTTCTGGGGTTCTGGAACCTCGGTGGAGACCAGGTAAACAGCACCCATGTGACTGACCCCCCCCCCAAAATCCTTGGACTCCTAAGCTCAGGAGAGCTTCCCTGGTGACACCACTCCACACAGGTTATCACACTGCAGGGGTGGAATTATGCACAGCTCCGCTGGGAGAGGATTCTGGAAGCCTGCTCTTGGTTCCTTCTGGACTTGGCTCGCCCCGTGCACCTGTTCCCTTCGCTGATTCTGCTTTGAATGTCTTCACTGAAATTTAGCATAAGTGGGTTCTGTGCTGAGTCCTACAAGTCCCCCCACCAAGTGATCAAACCTGAGCATGGTTTGGGGGGCACCAAAGAGGAACCCTTCCTTTGCTGCCCCTCTGGCACCTGCCTCCCTTTGTGGTCACTGGCTGTGTCATTGTCCTTCTCAAGGACGAGACCAGGAAGTTTCTTAACAGTCTTGTCTTACTACCTAAGCATCTGTAGGGCCTGACATAGCGCCTGGCACACAGCAGGTAAGATGCTATAACTGGTAATAATTATGAATTCCTACCATATACCAGGGGACGCCATGAACACTCTTCTTGTATAATCTCTTTCAATCCTTGTAACAGTGCAATGATGATGTTCTATTATAACTACCATTATTTCAGATGAGGAAACTAAGGCACTGATCAGGAAAGTAACCGGACATGGTTTGTAGAGATTGGGTCCTGGCAACTGGACGGTCGGACACGTGCTCATAACCAGTATGCTACAAGGAGAGCACACTCTTTTTTTGAAAGAAAAATAAACATATTCTCAGCACCTGGAATGGTGTACCTAGGTCAGACCTGGTGTGTTCAATGAATAGAAATTAAATTGAATTGAAGTCGGTGTTAATTAAACCCAATGAATGTCCTGCTTTAAGGAGCTCATAGCCAAGCTGGAGTTTGTTCAGAATACAGTGATCACGACGGGGGCATAAGTGACCCACAGCCTTTCGAAGGTTTAGAGAGCCTACCGATAATGGACAAACAGCTCATTTGGACAAATCCTCCCCCTGAGAATGAATGAAAAACGAAGCTGGACAAAAGGCTTATTAAACGATCATGAAAGTCCCAAGAGCCAACAAGACAGCGAGGAGAACACGAGCAGAGGTCATGAAGAAGGCACAGTCAGAGAAGCGTGCCCAGCTCTGGGGCTGTGCTTAGCCATGGGGAGCGGGTCCATCCAGGGGAGACAGCTGAGCACCTGATAGGACTTCTGATGGCCACCAGCTCAAAAGGGAGCTCATGGCTCCCCAGGGGTGGGTCCTGGTAAGTCATTCCATGCTTAGCGTCAGAACCCAAAAAGCTCCACCATGAATGCAATGGAAGGGAACAGGCTCTGACTGGTTTAAACAGCTGCAGCCCAGAGTCAGTTCATGGGGGTGGCCCAGGACATTTTAGGCCCTGACCTCAAATTAAGGTCACCTTGAACCCTAGAGGCCCAGTCATCTGGCAGAAGCAAAGGCAAATCCTCTTTGGAGGACATGACTGTATGCCTGAAAATACTTTCACAAATAAATGTACACATTTGGAATAAGGCATATAATAAAAAAACAAAGAGGCACACAAGGAGATAAGACAACATCACCAAAGACCCCACAGACAACAGACATCAAAATCAAGCCCTCAGGTACCCCCGGGGGCGTAATTATAGGACGCGGACTTTAAAGTACTGATGCTCGCTATAGCACGAAATTAAAAGCCACTCCTGAGCCTCGAAGCAAAGAGCTGGCCATGTGGCATCAGCACATCCTCCGGCGGGGCTGGGGCTCGAGGTCAGGCAGGTCCGCGTGGCTGAGCCCCGGTAAACTGCGGACCACGGCTCAGGCGGGCTTCCGTGGCCGGCCACACGCAGTGCGTGATGCCGCGAGGGTCAGTGCCGTCCACACCCGGTGGGAAAGGACGCCTGAAAGGGTCGGGACGGGGGCCCTGGATTCTGCCCCACGCGCCGACTGTGCTCTGCATGCTTGTGCCGGAATAAACCATAACCGTGGGCAGAACAGCTTTCCATGGAGTCCTTCTCGAGGACTTGGGGGCCCCCAAACTTGCATTTGGTGTCAGGCTTGAGGGTGTCTGGGGATTCCTCCCAAACGCTCCCCCCTGGGCGCCTAGAATGATCACTGCTGCCTTCTTGGAGGACAGTTTCATTTTTGCTTTTATTTTCTTCAGCCCGGACTCTTGGGGGGAGACTCGGAAGCTGAGAGAGGGCTCAGGCTGGGCAGGCTGCCGTCCCACCGCACTCCTCAGCAGACCCAGCACGGGTGGGACAGCCCGGAGTGAGATCCAAATCAACAAGTAGGTCGACGCGGCACCCTGGAAGGGGACGGTGGCAGCCCAGCCGTGAGCCCATCACTACCAGGACGACTCTGGGCTCGTTCCAGCTGTCTCTTCACGAAGCACCGAGACGTGTTCTTCAGCGGCCACTGTCTCAGTCTCACCGAGAATGTGCCATTTGTTTAAAGGCCGAGCGATGGTGAGAATTTAGAAACATGCGCTTTTCTCCGCAGCCTGAGAACCCTCAGGTGGTCATCGAATTTATCGCACAGCCTCCGTGCCCGTGACATCATGATCGACGTCCTGCCCAGAGAGGGGAGATGAGGACTCCCGGTGCCTGGGTCTGTGGAAGAGCCAGCCAGACCGCAAGGCGCATCATGTCCTGCGTATGTTCTGTGCTCACACAGCCTCCCGGGCAGGCAGTGATGACGACCGCGGTCGCGATAATATATTTTGAATGCTCACCACGGGCCTGACGAATGTGCGAGCTTGTTTAAGCCTCTGAATAGCTAGTCCTGTGGAGAATGCTTATTATTCCCGTCGGAACAAAGGAGATGAGATGCTGACCATCAAAACAGAGCCCGACGCAGACTTCTCGCCGCCCCCACCCGCGCCATCCCAGTGCAGGCCCCCACGGTCTCCTGCCCGGACCGCCGCAATGCGTCCCCAGGTCCCCGCCTCCACCTCTGCCCCCCCCCCCCCACAGTGCCTTCCCTGCACAGAAGCCAGAGGGATCCTCGCAAAACATGAGCCAAGTCACTTCCCTACTCGAAACACGCCAGTGGCTTCCCGTGCCGCTCCGATGTCAGTGCAGATGTCTTCAGATGGATTGCAGGGCCCTGCGGGTGGAGGCTGTCTGACCTCGGCCCTAACCCTGCCCTCCCGCGGCAGCCGCATTGGCCCCCGTGCTGCTGCTGGATCCCCGAGCTTGTCGCTGGCCCCGGAGCTTTGCAAAGATGAGCACTTTATTTATTTGGTTTGCAGCTGACTAGGTTGCACCAAACAGGGCTCAGTAATACTGAATGAAAAGGAATGAACAAACTCCCCCACGAGTCAGCAAGGAAGCCAGATTCACACTCTGCGGCAAGAGCTGTGCTCCTCAGCCTGGGGCCTGAGACCCCCTGCTCAGTGTGCTCAGCAGTCGGGTAGCCAGGGAGGTATTTACTGAGCACCTACTGTGTGCTGGGCCCTAGGCCCCAGCCCTGCTCTCCTGCTGCCATAATGGTCGATAACGGTCTCCGTTCTGCAGACGAGGAGGTGAGCTCAGAGAGGTTAAGGCTCTTGCCCGAGGTCACCCAGCGAGGAATGGCTCTGCCAGCATTTAACCGGCTCATTCAGCTTCTCTCTACCCCACCTGAGGGCTTCAACCTCTCCTTCCGGAAATACCAGGGAAGCAGTTCCCAATAACCAAAGGCAACGATTTCCACAATGAAGGAACATAAAAGAAACCAAAGTTATCTGGAACCAAAGGGTTCAACGTGAGCTGATAAAAAGAGTCTGAGGGGGCACCCGGGTGGCTCAGTCCGTTAACCGTCTGACTCTTGATTTCGGCTCAGGTCATGATGTCACAGTTCCGGAGACTGAGCCCCGCGTCGGGCTCTGTGCTGAGAGCACGGAGCCTGCTTGGGATTCTCAATCTGTCTCTCTCTCTCTCTCTGCCCCTCCCCCACTCACTCTCGCTCACTCTCTCTCAAAATGAATAAATAAATAAACATTAAAAACAATGGATCCGAGGAAACACGGCTGGACTAACTCTGGGACACAAGCTGGCACAGGACTTTGGTTACGTCCTTTACAAGCAGCTACGCAGATGCACGGAGTCAAGTGCCTTCTTGTGCCGTGCGTCTCCAAGGACCGCCTCACGAGGCACAGAGCCCAGCAGGTGTCACGCCTGGTTCGCACTGGACAGCCTCTCCTGATGCTAGCATAAAGGGGGTCTTCAATCTCAGCCTGAGCTCTCACAGGCCCGGCGACCAGACCCAAGCGCAGGAAAACCAAATGCATAACATCGTAAGGACGCCGCTGGAGGGATGGGGCTGTGGTCACTTCGGTGTCACCACAGACCTTTACTGAAGCGAATGTGATTGTGGCAGCCACGGAGACTGGCCAGGCGCTTCTGTACGCGCTGCCCGTTCCTCCGGCAGCAACGACCGGCGGGCGTTTTGTCCTTGCTTTATGGAAAAGGAAAGTGGGTTCGGCTGAAAGACCTTCGCCTCCAATCCCAGCTCGAGACAGGGAGTGTCAGCCTGCCGGAGGGGGGGTCGGGGGCCGTGGGGCGGGGCATTCAGAGCAGCTGCCCCACGAGTGTTAGCTCACTGGACCACCCCACCCCCTCCAAGACAGCGGTTCTCAAACTCTGCCGCATCGGAATGTCGTTGGGATGGAGGAAACCGAGGCACAAGTCAGACGAGCTGTTCCCGATCACGTAACTGGCGAACAGCCTGGCTGGGATTAGAACCCAGGCCGTCTGGCTCCACAGCCAGGATGTCACTACTACACGGCCCCCACACTAAGCAACATGCTTCGTGGCAAGAGCATTAGCACCGAAGGTAGAAGGACTTCTTTTAAATCCCGTCTTCACTATTCGTTGACTCTAGAACTCGAGCAGGACGGTGGGGCCAGCACAGGGAGGCTGTGTAACCAACGCAAGTCACACAGCATTGTTAGCAGCTTTCTCACTCCCCGCCCAGGAATCTGAGTCCTGACAAGGTTGTTCGTTTCCTGCCTGGGGTGTCTGGGACTTTGACTAATTGAATCCCACCCTGCACATTTCTCGAGAAAACCCTTCCCAGCTCCACATCTGCATAGGAAGGGAAATGCAGTTTTCACCACACGGGTTTCTCATTTGGATTAAGTGATCAAATACTCAGACAGCACTTAAGACAGTAGCCTGCCTGGAACAAAGATCGGCCTCTGTATCAGTTTCCTGTGGCCGCCATAGCAAAATCCCATAAACCATGTGACTTTAAACAACAGAAATGGATTCTCTCACGGCTGTGAAGGCAGAAGGCAGAGACCAAGGTGTCGGGCAGCACTCCCTCCAAAGGCTCTACAGGAGGGTCCTTGCCACCTCCTCCAGCTCTGGTGGCCCCGGTGCTGGAGTCACCAGCACCACTCATTGGATCCAGGGCCCCTCTCAGTCACTGTGGTCTCATCTCAACCAATGACATCTTCAAAGACCCTATTTCCAAACAAGGTCACATTCGGAGATTCCAGGGGAACTTGAAATTTGGGGGGGGGGATGCCGGTATGAATAGGATTGTGTCCCCCAAATTCAAATACAGAAGCCCTAACCCCAATGTGACTGCACCTGGAGATGGCCCTCAAGGAGATACCGCAGGTTAAGTGGGGTTATTAGAGATGCCCTCAGCTCACAGGGCTGATGTCCTAACACAAGGAAGACACCAGAGTACTCTCTCTCGCCATGAGCACAGAGGAAAGGCCAAGTGGGGACACAGCGAGAAGGTGGCCATCTGCAAACCAGGAAGAGGGTCCTCAGCAGAACCCAACCACGCCTCCACCTTGATCTGGGACTTCCGGCCCCCAGAACGGTATATACGATGATATATACATCTTCTGTTTAAGCTCCCCTGTCTGGGGCACTTTGTTACGGCAGCTGAACTGACTCATACAGACCCTATTCACCCAGTATAGCTGCCACGACGGTGAGGGTTTGCACTTCCCGCCTTCACACGTTTTTCTGGGCCTGGGATGTCCCCCCAACTCCTCGTCCACAGGGCCTGTCTCCTCCCTTAAGGCTTGGCTCAGGCATCACTTCCTGCAGACAGTTGTCTTCGACCTGGCCTGAACCCCAGGGCATCCCTCATGCCCCCTCCCTGTACCCGAAAGCGGGATGTTACAAGGGGAGCCAGCCCTGAGGGGGTGTGTCCCAGATGCCCGCGGCTGCCTCAGGGCCCCCCGCACCCCCCCCCCCCGTGTATTCGGTGTTCACGCCACTCCCAAGAAGAAGGGCTGTCATTGTCCCCATAGCCCAGGCGGGGAAACAGGGAACCAGAGAGGCCCAGGGAAGTCTGGAGGCCACACAGCGAGGAAGGGGGAGGAGCCAGGACGCCGACCCAGGCACTTTGGGTCTGGCGTCGACCCTTCACGCGCTACCCATCACGATGGCACTTGTCAACTTCCTTTGCGACGACACGTCTGCGTTTCTGCCTTTCCAGCAGCTCAGGGTGTGTACCCGAGGCAGGCGCTCCGTGTCTCAGTGATCACCATATCCCTGGGAGCCCCTGTCACTCCGGAGGGCACGTGCGCACGCCTGTTCTCCCAAAACCAGCCCTCCAGGCAAGCGGGGATCCCCACGCCCCGCTCCTCCGGAACTGCATGAGTTGTCCAGTGAGAAGGGGGGGGGGGGTGCCGGCACTCCGAGCGAGGCTTCGCGCTCCCTCCTCATCACGGCTCTACCCTGACGACGCCCACAAAAGCCGGCCTACTTTCCATCCTGGGTGAACTCACTTCCAAAGGCCGTTGCCTCTAGGGACACTTGGAGGAAAGAGCCCTGAGCTCCACAGAAAACAGAAGGTTTTCTGGTATATGAGGTGGGGAGGGACCCATGGCGGGCGTGTGCCCAGCCAGAGGGCCGGGGCTGGACCCAAACCTGCATCTCTGGGGCCCCGGGCTGGAGGATGTGAGATTCCCACGCACACTCAGATCCTGAGGGTTCTCTGGAGGTCCCCCCGTGATGCCACATACCTGGCACAGCACAGCCATGGCCTCGGTGGTCCTGACGTCCTCCTGTTCCTCCAGGTAACTCTGGGCCAACCTCTGTCTCTCCAGGACTTCATGAAAAGCCTGTGAGTAAAACAGGGGCTGAAGCAATCCCACAAGACAATGCTGATTTTTTTTTTCTAGAAAAAAGGACCCCTGCCTCTCAGATCTGAAGGATGTCCATCCCTGATTTATATACAAGGAGGGGCACCTGGGGGGCTCAGTCAGTTAAGTGTCTGACTTCGGCTCAGGTCATGATCTCGAGGTCCGTGAGTTCGAGCCCCACATTGGGCTCTCCGTTTTCGGCACAGAGCCTGCTTGGGATTCTCTCTCTCCCTCTCTGTCTTCCCCTCCCCTGCCCCACCCCAAATAAATAAACAAACTTCAAAAAATGTATATACGTGAAACCAGAGGCACAGGGACATCACGTGGCTGCAGTTGCAAATTTGGTCGCCTGGCCACAAGCCACCCAGACATCATTCCATGACTAAACTGCTGGGGACCACCACCCAGGCTCTGGGAGACCACCCAGTGGAGCCCACCGCCTGGCAGGGCCGGTCCAGACAGGCCATGAGAGGTCAGTGTGGTCAGTGACCAGCCAGGCCCACCCTGACCACGTGGCTGGGCCCCACCCTGAGGAGCCCAGAGAAGGGCAGGGAGCAAACACAGGGGTGCATCAGGGGGTCCCAGACACGAACAGGGAGGCATGGCAGGTCATAGCGACAGAGGGGAAGATTCCTCTCAGGGAGGGTCCACAGGGGAAAACCCCTCGTGTACGCTGAGTCTTTAAGGACAAGGAAGTTTCCCTGGAAGACGGGGGAACCCACGCTACTGGGTGGGTAGGAGCCGCTGCAGCTGGGACCAGGCGGTACGAATGCGTCCGGCCCTGGTGGGGGCGCGGAGCGGAAGCTAGGCTGAGAGGGAGGGGCAGGGACCAGAAAAAGAAAGGACACCGGGTCTGGGTGAGAGTTGCATTCATTCATTCATCCATTCATTCACTCCTTTATTCACGTATTTATCCGTTTTCTCATTCACTTGGGTATTCATCTATCCTTTTACACACTCGTCCAACCTGTTCTTCCCACACCCATGTCTCCTGAGCACCAGCGTGTGCCTGGCCTGGGCTGAGGTCCTGGGCAGCCTGTGCCATGCGATGTTGGTGGAGGGGCCAGTACAATCATAGCCTCTCTAATTCTTTTAAAATTTTTTTAATGTTGATGTATTTTTCAGACAGAGAGAGAGACAGAGCATGAATGGGGTGAGGGCCAGAGAGAGAGGGAGACCCAGAATCCGAAGCAGGTTCCAGGCTCCGAGCTGTCGGCACAGAGCCCGACGCGGGGCTCAAACCCACGGACCGCGAGATCATGACCTGAGCCGAAGTCGGACGCTTAACCGACTGAGCCACCCAGGCGCCCCAGCCTCTCTCACTCTTATTTCTGATGCATCTTCCTGAGGACAGAAACGGCCCCCGCCCCACTTTACTGCCTGGAAGGGGCCTGGGAGGAGGCTCCTTGAGGAAGGGGGCAGCTGAGCCTTAAAGGGACCTCAAGGCCTCTCCTCTGTTCTCGGGGGTCTCCTCGCCTGGCTCCTCACTGGGGAGCTGCCGCTGCCCTCAAGGTGCTCCTGGGGGGGGGGGCGGTGCATGCCTGTGACCGTGTGGGTCACTGTCCCTCGATCCCCCTGGCAACACCGAGATGAGGTCCACCACAGGGCAATGCAGAGCAGAAGGGACCAGACAAGCAGTCTCGCAAGACCCTGACAACCCACGAGGTAGGTGCCATTACTCCCAGTGTGCAGGTGAGGAAGCTGAGGGCTGCGGGGTGAGCGATGCGTCCAAGGTCACTTGGCCCCCTAGCAGCAGAGTCGGTGTTCCAACCCATTTCCAGGCAGCCCCAGTGCCCAACGGCCTGACCACCGTGCAGGAAGGACAAGCAGACCCCACCCCGCCCATTAGCGGGGAAACACCGGGGCCAAGGCAGGGTCTTCTTCCCTCTGAGAACCTGAGCCGGGTTGTTTCAGCCTGTGCCAGGGACAGCTCACTTCCTTGCCCTCAAGGACAGTGACCTCTTATCTCTTGTCCCCTTCCTCGTCAGGACAAGGGCATTTTCTAGCGTGGCCACCTCCCTGGTCCTGCCGACTCAGCCTCACAGGCACGGTCCCCGGGGCCCCTGGACGTGCCAAGGTCACCGGGCTGACACGTGGAGGCGAGAAGCTGACCTCGTGCCTGGCAGATGTCAAAGCGTCTGGCTTTCCTGGCTCAGTCATGAGGACCAAGCCCCAGCACTCAACCTGCGTGGCCGTTCCCGGGACGGCCGTGCCCGTGGACGTGGTGGGCAGTCAGGAGCAGGTTCACCTGGAGGAACTCGGCCGGGTCGGAGGTCAGCCGTGCCTCGGCCAGGAAGCCCCTCTGCTCCTCTTTTTGAGCCAGCTTCAGCTTCGCCGTCTCCTCTGCCTGGTGGACCAGCGACGCTTTAACCAGGTCTTTGCCTCGCTGCACAAACTCTGAAATGGAAACAAGCCACGGGACATGGCAGGTGACTCTCCCGGCAAGACCTTCCTGTCTCCTGCCGGCACCAAGGACGAGCCACACGGTTTGATCTTTCAGGCACGTGTGCTTCCAAAAGGCCAGTTAGGAGCTCCTGGCCCCACATTATTTGAGGGACCCCCACTTCCCCTCGGGCCCGGTGCTCAGGACACCACACAAGGCTTCGCTTAGCTGTTATGCGGGGCGGCCGGCCAACCTGACGAAGAGGAGGCATTTTCCTGGGGCAAAATGAGGGAGGTGGGGGTGACGCAGGGAGGGACAGGTGGTAGGGCAGGATAGAGGAGACGGGGTCTGCTGGGAGACAGTGACATCTCAGACCGTAGTTGAGTCAAAAACCAGGAGGACGAGCCCAAGGGCAGGGCCTCTGCTTGATGGGGGAGGTTACAGGAGGGAGAGAGGCCGGGGTCTAAAACCACCCTCCACCCTGCCCCCGGTCACTCAGCCCGGCAGTGTGGCACAGCCCCGGGCGCTGGGGCCGTCCCAGGAGCAGGACCCAGCCCTGCTCCCAGTCTGCTCCTGGTCCTGAGAGGTTGAGACAAGGGTTAGGGAAAATCAGTGCCATGTGGATGAGGGACGGGGGGGTGGGGTGGGAAGGATGAGGCGTAACAGGCAGTGTGGGACCCCAGAGAAGGATCCGGGGAGAGGAGACAGAGAAGGCAGCCAGATCCTTCTCCCCAAATGGGGGAGATGTTGAGTGTAGAGGCTGGAAAAGTCCATGGGGGCCAGGCTACCAGGGGTCTGCAGTCCTTGGAGATGTTTGCTTCAGCATTTCATACACACACACACACACACACACACACACACACACCCCTTCCACACTTGAGACACAAGCACACTTCCTTGGGTTTTGTCTGAGAATCTCTTAGCCTCTGACAGCAAAGAAAAGAGTGTGACCAGGTGTCCAGAGTCCTCCCTCTGCCCAAGGGTCCTCCCTCCACCCCCTGACTGTCTCTTTGCCTCCCCTGTCTTGTCCAAGTTCAACAGAGCCTGATCACCTGGGGCTGTGTGTCCTGTCCCTGCCACTCTCTGCTGCTGGGGCCTCTTTCTGCTGGTAAAGCCCAGGCCATGGTGTGTGATGACCCCCAAGGCCAGATGTGCTCATTCTACACAGTCCAGAGCTCCAACCAGCCAACACGTGGTCATAGAAGCCATGACACCAAGTGACACAAAGACCTCGTGGAATGGCCTGGTTGGAGTCCTGAGGTCCCAGCACTGAGTGCCTGCCCTCTGGCCCCCTCTCCCCAGGGCAGCGGGCAGGCTTGGTAGAGAGGACATGAACCACTGCAGACAGAGGACCAGGTCCCTGGCTGCGATGAAACCCAGTGCTATGGACAGAACTGCATCCCCCCAAATTGATACACTAAAGCCCTACCCGCCACGTGACTACATTTGGAGACGGGGCCTAGACGGAGGCACTTAAGTTGAAGCGAGTTCACGAGGCTGGGGTCCTAATCCCATAGGGCCGGGGCCTTAATGAGAAGAGGAACAGGTGCAGGAAAGCTCATTCTCTGCCATGTGGGGACCCGGGGAGAAGGTGGACATGTGGGAGCAGGACGTGGTCTCTCAGGAGCGGCTGGAGCTCTGATCTTGGACCTCAGGGTCCCCACAACTGGGAGGGGAGGAATGTCTGCCGTGTGAGCCCTCTGGTCTGCGCCATCTTGTTACGGTGGCCCGAGGTGACCAAGATACCTGGACACCCCCTGGTCCGACAGTGTCCACACCCGTGTGGCTGTTGGAACCCGCTGGGGAAACTGTTAAGCACACGGGCTCCGTGCCTGGCAGACACCCTGAGGGCAGAGAGGCCCTAGCCTCTGCCCCGCCACTGTCACGGCTCCAGGCAAAGGCCATCACAGAGCCGCCCGTGAGCTCTTCTGCCAAGGGCCCGGGAAAGCGGGTGCGGGCAGCGTGTGCCCCGCAGGTTAAAGACGTGGCTTCCTTTTTTCTACTGATGCGACCTGGACTGGGTCTCCGATGCCCTCAGTGCCTTGAACCTTGACCTGTGCACCTCCCAGGGCCCGCCCTAGCCACATCAGGTTCCCTCTCCTGCCCCACACGCTCAACCACTGCCCACCCACACCTGCCCTGCTAAGCAGGGCCCTGTAGGGCTGCAGGCTGCAGCTGAGTGGCATGTGTCCTTTCTGGGCCTTTCCACCCCCCTCTGCGCTCTGCATAGTCCAGGCGCTTCTCCTGCAGGACCCTGGGGCCTCCATCAGCCCGGATCACTGGGGAGTAGACGCAGCGGGCAATCCCCGACCCCAGGGGCAGCGTGTATCGAATTCTACCTTATGGGGAAGGCAAGCAAGCCTCAGAGAAGTTACGAGATGTGGTTCCGGGGGCAGAAAGGCCATCGCAGGCTGTGCTAGTCTCCCGGGCGCTGCTCTACCTCTCCTGACACTTGCAGGTACTGCCTCCCAGGCCCGGGCCACCCCGCACCACCCCCTCCCAGGCGTGGGAGGGCTGCGCCCCAGACCAGGCCACCACTCACTCACCCCTGCCGAAGCGCTCCGCCTCTCCCCAGAAGGCCTTGTGCTGCTGTGCGAGCAGCTCCTCCTTCTGTCGCCCGGACAGCCTCCCCTCGACGGTCAGCAGCTCCAGGCTGCGGGACAGGGCAGCCAGTCGGCATCTGGTCTCCTCCTGGATTTGCAGCTTCAGGGACTCGATCGTCTTTGCCATGTGCACCCGCCCCATCGTTCTCTCCAGGGCGTCCTGGGAAGGGAAATACCCTGGGTCAGCGCCCTGTGGCACAGGTCTGCTGATGGCCACGGGCCGCGTCCACCCTGGTGCCCATACCTCCCGGGGAGCGGAGGCCGGACCACTGGGCTGTCCTTCTGAGCCTCCCGTGTCTGCCCCTTGGATGCGGACAAAATCACCCCTTATGGGGGTGTGGAGAGGCCGACACAGGGTGGGATACAGAAAGCACTTAGTACACAGAGAGCCCTCCTCCAAGGCTGCTCTTCCGGGAAGGGATTCAATCCGTGCCCATGGCCCAAGAGGAACATCCACCTTTCTTACGCGCCCCC